CCTTGGGACGCTGCCCTGTCCGGCAGGGTCTCCTCCAGTGGGAGTTAGCTTTGTAGCAGTGGCTTTGGGATTTCTCTAAGCTGCAGCCCAATCCCAACGGCCCCTCTGAGCAGTGGCGCCCTCTCCGACTGACACAGCAGGTGTGGGGTCCGTTCCACATGTGAACTGGCCAGGACTTTCTTATTCCTTCTTATTGGCAAAAGTATTTTTCCCTGGAGTCACTTGAAAGAGCATTTGGTTGGAATCACTTCGTCTCTTCATGTCGAGCCAGAGGCTGATCTTAAACCAATGATCAGTGAACCAAGCACATGATTATCTGCTTGCTAAGCCCTCATCAGGGCTTGGACTGTGGACTGTGTCCCCAGAGCCCTGAAGTTAGGAGAGTGATGTGCCTTCACTGATGTGACACAGCTGGTCGCCCTGGACAGTCCCTTCCATCTGCTTCGGGAGCCCTAGGCAGCTGTCCTTGTCCTCAGGTGGGAGGATGGTGAGGAGCCAGAGGTCTCAGGGCAAATTCTGCTTCGCTCTGACTCCCCAGATGTGCACACCCATGCCATCTCCCTTCTCTGAGCCCTGGGCTCATGGAGACAGATGTGTGATCTTCTGGAAGGCCGTGGTATGTTCTGTGTTCCACACCAGCACTGTGATTCAGAGACGTCGGTTCTTCGGGCTTCCTCTTCCTGATTCGCCGTCCAGCTTTTGCATACGTATGAGGTGACTAAAACGACCATGTCATACAGGTACCACTTAGATTTCCAAGTCACATCTTTGTGTTTGCACATTGAGGAGGTCTCTTGCAGCGGGCAGCACAACGCAGTAAATTGGTTGAGGTCTTCACTCCTGCTTCCAGGGATGCTGGTTTTGGATTCAAGTCAGATGAAGTCATTGACAGCTTCAGTCTTTTCTCTGCTTATCATGGTATTGCATTTTACTTCGCTTGTGAGGATTTTTATTTTATGCTTTGGTGTCATTTATACTGAAGGATGTAGTCTTGATCTTCAGTAAGTGCTTCAAGTCCACTTTACTTTAAGCAAGGAGAGTGTGTCGTCTGGATATCACACGTCTTCCTCTAGTCCTGACACTTTATTTTTCATATAACCTAGCTTTTCATATTATTTGCCTAGCATATAAATTATATGAGGACGGTGAAAGAATCTAGCCCTGATCCATACTTCTGATTTTAAACAGTGGCATATTCCCTTGTTCTGTTTGAACAACTGCCTCTTGATCTAGGGATAGGCTCCATATGAGAACAATGAAATGTCTAGATTTCTCATTCTTTGCAACCTTAACCATAGTTTCTTCTGATCTGCACAGTTGAATGCCTTTGCATAGTCAGTGGAATGCACACAAGGGACCATTTTCCTGGTATTCTTTGCATTCAGCCAAGATCCGTGTGATCTCAGCAATGATATTCCTTGTTTCACAGCCTCTTCTGAATCTGGCTTGAATGTCTCTGAAGTTCCTTGTCAAAGTCCTGCTTCAAAGAGTCTGTTGATAGGTTTATATGAAAAAAAATTATTGGTAAGAAAAACGTTAGAAACTCATTTGAGTTTCAACCATCTTGTTTTATGCCACATCAACAGAACTGGGAGGTGACATAGCATTCTTAAGATAGCTGGGAGATCTGGTGACCTAGTGGTTAAGGAGTTGCACTGCTAGTGCAAAGGCAGATGGTACGAATCCACCAGCTGCTCCAGAGGAGAAAGATGGGCAGTCTTCTCCCATGTGATTTGTGGCCTCTGAAAACCCGCTGGAGGGTCAGCGATGCATCAGTCTGACTCAGCAGCAGTGAATTACTGTAATTAGGACGGTAAACCAGAATACCAGTTGCAGTTGAGTTGAGTCCAGCTGATGGCAACGGGGTGTGTGCAGAGTAGCACTTTCACAGCTGTGACTTTTTGGAAGCAGATCACCAGGCCTTTCTTCCGAGGTGCCTGTGGATGAGTTTGAACTTCCAGCCTTCAGGTTGGTAACCTAGCACTTAACCATTCCCGCCAGCCAGTGACTCCTTACTTTGTCAGTGACTCCTTTCATGTCTTACTGGCAAGAAAGTAGTGGCTCATTTCATTGCACTTTGCAGATACTACGGTTTTTAAAACAAATTGACGGGCTGTGGCAACCTTCATAAAGCAGTCAAATAAGTGTTATTTTCCTGTCAGCTCACTAACTGTCTCTTGTGTTACATCTCGGCAGTTCTCACAGTATTTAAAAGTTTTCTTAAAATGCTCTTACACAACACTGTTGCTTCTGTTGTGTCAGAACTGACCCATAGCTGACCCTCCAGTGGGTTTTCAGAGGCATTAGACCACGTGGGAGGAGATTACCCATCTTTCTCCCGTAGGCTGGTAGATTCCAACCATATACCTTCGGGCTAGCATTGTAATTATACAATATACTATTGTGTAGACATAAGTTTTTTTAAATCTTTATTTTATTTTACTATTTGTGTGTAGGTACTGTCAAATTGGAGCTGACTGGTAGAGGAGGAAATTGTCTCTCCTTCTCCAGCAGAGCATCTGATGGATTTGAACCACGTTCCTCTGGGATTGTAGTGCACCATCTTGCCACTAGGCCACCAGAACTCCCTCAGATAAAACTTTTATATGCACTGGGAAACCAAAAAGTTCTTACAACTCTTTATTGTGTTGCTTACTTTATTTTTGGTGCTTTGGGCCAAACCCCAAATTTCTCTTGAGGTTTGCCTGTACTTTAGGTCAAAGACCATGTTGGCTCCCCGGCCCTACCCCCTTGTATCTGGAGCCAGGTAGGCCAGGGCACAAAAGGCTTCTCGTGAGAGAAATGAAGGCAGGGCCCAGCTCTCACCTAAAGATGCAGGAAATGGCACTCTTGTTCTCTAGAGCCTGGCCACCCAGCTGCCTTACAGCAAGTTCAAAGTCACACTTGGTCACTGTAGTAGAACTCCTCCATTAGCCTCATTCACTAACAAGCGCTCAGAGAATACCAGCGCTGTGTCAGCCACGGGCGCTTCCAAACCTAGGCTGCCCCAGCCACCTCCCTCACTCAGGAGCATTTTCTGGGCGAGAGGATTGTGCCAGTGACCTTGGGGCTTGTTTTACTGTTTGATTGATGGCTGCGTGGTAGCCAGAAGTTCTTGATCCCGAGAGGCCCAGCTGTCAGAATTCCCAAGAAGTTTCTCCCAAGTCTTAGAAGCAAAAATTCACCAAGCATCCACTCCTAAATCTCAAAGGACTCTTGAGTATCCCTGGTGCAGCCCTTTCATGTTACAGATAAGGAGGTGGAGGCAAGATGGGGTCAGCAGTGGGGCCCACCCTCGGCCTCCTGCCTCCGTACATGCAATGAGGAGTGGCTGGACCACGGGGGCGGGGGGGGTGCGCGCTGTCCTGCAACCTCAGTGCAGGGTGTATGTGGGGAGGTAGGGGGGTGGGAGCTACCACCATGGCACTTACCCCCTGGGTCAGCACCCAGGAGGGGCAGCCTGCCATCGAGGAAATTTGTCTGAACCTGCTGTTCGGAGCACACAGCTCCTCACCCATCTCCCCTGAGCCGCATTTCTACCCCTACATCTCCCACCCATGTGGGCTAGGAGCATGGCCCTGCTGGGAGTTGGGGGAATGCAGGGACCACCAGAGGGGAGACTGGAAGGAGGGACGGGTGAGGGCTGATTCCATTCATCAGGGATGGGATATGCCTCCCACCGCCTCAGCCCTGTACCCAGCCTCACAGACACCCTCAATGGACTTGGCAGAGAACACACACACACACACACACACACACTCTTCAAGAGCTGGGCGGGGAAAGCAAGCCTTGCAGATTTCAGCTTCCTTTGGAGGGAAAGACATGTCTACACCCCGTCTTCCTGAGCCTACTCCCAGCAATTTTCTCAATTATCCCTGTAATTTATTAAAAACCCACCTCGTGGCCCAGCTGGTGAGTCAGCCCCATGAACAGCTGGTGGAGGGTGAATGGTTGGGGGAGGGGCAGGTGTGGGGGCTGGGGCCCTTCCAGCACCCTCACCCAGGCCCGGAGGCTTATGGGGGAAAAACAACAATCCTGCTGCGTTCTAGTCAATTCCAGCTTATAGCAACCCTGTGGGATGGTTGATAGTAACCCATGGGGTGCATAGTAACCCCTGGGGTTTCTGAGACTGGGAATCTTTATGGGCTCACACTGCCAGGCTTTCTCCTAAGGAGTAGCTGGTGGGTTCGAACTGCCGGCCTTTTCAGTCAACAGCTGAGTGCTAACCTGCTGTATCATGAGAGCTCCTCGCCCTGTGGAGGACCCAGGAACTCCTAGATACTCAATGGCTTAACCTAGAAGCTGAAGAAAGTGACAGGGTGTAACTCATCGTGTGTGTGGTCAGCCAGCATCAGGCCCCACGCTTCACCTAAAGTCCCATTGACTCGTCAAGGGCCAGCCTGTTGTTCCTGGCCATTGTCCTGGTAACCAACAGTCAGACTGAGCAGTACAAGCTAACATGGCAGAGCTGGGATTTGAACCTTGGTCTCTTTCACTCCAAGCTGCCCTCATAGCCACTCAGCCTCCAGCCACTGATCTGTCAGGTCACAAGTGATCCTTGTGGTTGAAAGGGAACCCCTCTTACCATTCTGAACCTTCTGAGGGACAGCCCGGCGAGGCTTGGGGACACTTCCTAAGGGTCCGCTGATGACTCATGACACAGTGCCCAGCCCCAGGCAGCTTGAGCACCTTGTTCCAGGACCTGGGACTGCCCTTGTCCATGTTCAGACAATGAGGCTCAGAGAAGCCCCGTGATGTCCCTGAGGTCACACAGACCTGAATCCTGGGTCCTCCTTCGCCCTCCAGCTCGGCCGCCTCCCTGTGTAAATGCAGCCCTGGGCCCGATGTGGGCCAGCTGTCACACCTGGCTGGGGCCATCTGTGCGCCTGCCCTGAGCACTGTCACCTGGGCCTGGCTGCTTTGCCCATGCGTACCTGAGGCCTACCCCTGCCAGTGCCCTCTCCTGTTCCTCACTACTCACGCCGCTCCTCTCCTTCTAGTCTCCAGCGTGCATCACCCGGGTCAGCCAGGACCTGGTCTCCCAGACAGAGGAGAGGCTCCGCCAGAGGCCCAGCAAGGAACTCTTCTCTGCATGTGCGCAGTAAGTGCCCACCCGGGCTGGTCCGCAGACCTTGCCCACCTTCCACCTCCCGTCCTCCACCTCCTTTCCTCCACCCAGGCCATCCTGGGCACAGGACGCAGGCCTTTGGTGCCCCAGAGCCCCAGCTAAGCCAGCCAGCTGCTTGTCCACTTCTGGCAGCGCCAGGTCCAAAGAAAACACCTTCAAAGGATGTCACATGGGCATGGCTCTCCTGGGCGAGGAGACGGAGGCTCTGCCAAACTGTGGCCAGCCCGGGAGGTCTGCAGAGCAGCGCTGCTACAGGAGACCCCCTGTGTCCCCTTTCCCCCTCACCTTGTCTGCAGGGGCCCAGCACCGGCCGTGGTGAAGGGGAGAGGAGTTGGTGCGTGTGGCTCCTGACACACTAGTGTCACGATGTGTGCACACGCATACGCGCACACCGCCCGCATGTCCCCACTACCATCCCCATCTCTGTCTGGAACTCCCTCCCTCAGTCCAGCAGGTCGCCCTTCTGTCCAAAGCTCCCATGATTTCCTGTTGCTTCCTGGCTGATGTCCACAGTGCCCGCTGTGATGGTGATGGGGGGGCACCCGGAGGTGGGGAGAAGCCAGACCTCCCAGTCACGCCCCTTGCCTCCACCCCAGCCCTGCCCACGGCCCTTTCTTCAGAGGCAAATGCACCTTCCTACCCCAGGACCTGAGCACGTGCTCCTTCCTCTGCTGCTTCCACTGTCTTCACCACGTCCAGGCCCAACCCCTTTCCAGCACCTCATCCTCATCTGTTTTCCTAATCCCAGCTGGAAACTCTTCTCCAGGGAGATTCCCCCGGCCCCAGAGACATCACTTAGCACTCATTCGTGAGTGTTCGTCTGTGTGGTCTGTGGGGAGCCCCCATCACAGCGTCCGCTTCATGCTCACTGCTTCCTGGGTCTAGAGTGATGCCTGGCACGTCCTTCCTACCACACGTCAGTCCTCACAGTGACTCTGCAGGACAGAGTAGAGCTGGCCCAGGCAGTTCCCAAGGCCCTCGATCTTTACAGAATCACACTGCCACAGCTTTCTCCCAAAGACCAGCTGGTGGGTTTGAACTGCTGACCTTTTGATTAGCAGCTGAGTACTTAACCACTACATCACCATGCTCCTTGTAAATGTTCACAGAACCAGTGCCTCAGTCTCACAACACTGGGCCGAATGAGGGCTCTCTGATGGACTGACTGGACCTGAGCCCGGCTGCCTGTGTTTGCATCTCCAGAACGTGGGAACGGCTGGGGCTGGGGGTGAACTTCTGCCTGGCAGCTCTGCGGTCAGGATTATAAAATGTTGTCTGTCTGTTTCATCTGAGCTAGATCTGTCCACGACTACCTTCGGGGAGAACCCTTCCAAGAATACCTGGACAGCATGTATTTCGATCGCTTTCTCCAGTGGAAATGGCTGGAAAGGTGAGCACCCAGGCCCGTACGCGTGGGGGAACGTGAGGTGTGTGTGCACGCTTGGCGTTTGAGAATCACGTAAAAATCCATCACTTCCCATGAGTTTGCGGTTTAAAAACGGAACCATCCTGCTGTTCCGTACATTCTAGAAATAGTCTATGCTGACGGAACTGCTCTTGCATGTGTGTGGATGTGCAGACACACAGGCAGGCTCAGTCTCCGGCTTCCGAGACTATAGATCTCTATGGAAGCAGAGAAGCCGGTGGGTTTGAGCTGTGACCTTGCTGGTGACAGCTGAGCCTTTAACGGTTGTGCCACACATACACAAAAAGCAAGTGTCTGTTGTCACAGAGTCAATTCTGACTTACAGTGACCCTAGCCTACTGGATAAAGAGTTGTACCGCCAACCCAAAGGCTGGTGGTTTGAATCCACCAGCTGCTCTGTGAGAAAAGAAGGTGGACAGTCCCTTTCCATGTGATTCATCGCCTCTGAAAACCTGCTGGAGGATCAGCTATGAGTCAGCTCCGACTTGGACGGTGATGAGCTGAGTGTTTATTGTTGATGCTGTGAGGTACCATCAAGTCAAGCTCGACTCATGGGACTGTCAGTGGGGTCAGTCTGTGAACATCAGCGCAGCTGCCTGGCCCCTCCTGTGCCGTCTTCATCGTCTCTACCAGCGCAGAGCCCGTGGTTACAGCCGCTGTGTCACCAGTCTCATTGAGGGTCTTCCCCTCCTTCACTGATCAAAGACAGCAGACTGGGCCCGTCAGGTTTCTGAGTCTGTCATCTTTACAAACGTTGACTGTCTCGTCTTTCTTAGCGTGGAATGCCTGATGGGCTTAAACTGGAAGCCTTTGGGTTAGCCACCACATGACCACCACACAATCCACTAAAAACCACACTCACAAATTGATTTCAACTCACAATGACTGACGTCCTGTCTGCTTTCTGAGGCTGCAAATCTTTTTTTTTTTTTAATGTATACTTTATTTGATATTAAAAGGTTTGAAGATACTCTTTTTTTTCCTTTCCATTCATTCATTGTTTCCTCCCTGTCCCCCAGTTCGCTTTTTTCTTTGGAAAAAAAGTTCATTCATTGTTATACAGTCGTCCCCACCCCCGCCCCCAGACTACTTCACTGTGCAGCTCTTATTCTGGACTCTTGTCATGCCAGTAATACCTAATCATATGTTCCTTTTATACAGTTCTCTCCCTTGTCTGTTTCAATGCCGTGTGCATTATTTAACCCCTCGTTTCTTAGTTTTCCCCTAGCCCCCATATCAGTCCTATTCTATAGTATTTGTCTTTTTTGTGACTGAGATATTTCACTCAGCATAATGTCCTCCAGGGTCACCCATCTTGTATAATATTTCATGAGTTCCTTGTTTTTCAATGCAGCATATTATTCCATTGTGTGAATATACCACAGCTCCTCTATTCATTCGTTTGTGATGGGCACTGGGGCTGTTTCCAACTCTTTGCTATTGTGAACAAAGTAGCAATAAACATGGGTGTGGAGGCTGCAAATCTTTACAGAAGGAAACTGCTTAGCCTTCTCCTGCAGAGCATCTGGTGGATTTGAACCACTTACCTTTTGGTTCAGGTCTGACACATTATACACTGTGCCACAGAGCTCCTTACCACACGTCATCGTCATCATCACATTGCTGTTGAGTCAGAACTGACCCCCCGTTGGGTTTGAGATTGTAAATCACAGTAGGGGCGACCGTCCATCTTTCTCTCCAGGAGCAGCTGGTGGATTTGAACTGCTAGAAAGGCGTGGTGTTTGGTTAGCAGTGCAGCTCTACAGAACATGCCTCCCCCGACCGCCCGCAGGGCTCCTTACATAAGCACAGGAGGGAGATCACCAGGTCCGCTTCTGTGTGTGCGAGACAAGGGGACCGGAGCCCTGGGGCTTCAGGCTGCCTTGGCCTTGGGTGTGATTTCCAGGGACATCCAGACTTTCTGAGGAAACCAGGGAAGACACGCGGAGGAGTGGTGGGTGCAGTGTCTGCTGGTCTTACTCTGGCTGGCCCAGTTCTTTGCGAGCCCAGTGTCCCACGAGCCCCTGAAGAACAGGATTCTTCACGCACGTGTGTGTATGTTGAGTGACCAAGGGGTGCTTTAAATGGTCTTGGAGATCCGAGAGCTATTGTAGTGAATGCATCGGCTGCCCACTCGGAGCCACGCTGTGTCCACTCGCTCTTCTCAGAGCTAAAGAGGAGCAGTTGACTCCTGTATGATTTACAGCTTCTGATAACCCGCTGGAGGTCAGCTGTGAGTCACTTCCGACTCAATGGAACATAACAACAACACACACCTGGAACAAATGCTTTACATTTCAACATTCTCCACCCTATATAATGTAGAACTCAGTGGCATTAGTTACTTTTATCGTGTCGTTCAGTCATGACATTATCTGTTGACAAATTATCCTATCAGCCTTAAGAGAAGCTTAGCGTCCCCTACACAGTGAGTCCCTTTCCCCTGTCCCTGTCCCCTGCTTCTGGTAATCACTGTTCATAATCACTTTCTAGTAATCAACTTTTGCCTCTAGACACTCAACTCTTCTAGATGTTTCTTCTAAGTGAAATCATTATATTGGTCACCTCACATGATGTTTTCAAGGTCCGTCCATGCTGTATCATTTCTCTCCGTGGCCAAGAGTCAACCTTGACATCATAAAACACAGCTCTAGTAGCCAAATGAAAGTACAAGCTGTCTGAGATAGGTGAGCTCTGGTGGCCTGGTGGGAAGAAGCTGCACTGCCAACCTGAAGGCATGTGGTTCAAATCCACCAGCTGCTCTGGAGGAGAAAGCTGGGCAGTCACTGTTGGTGTTATTTCTTGCCTCTGAAAATCCGCTAGAGGATCAGTGTGGGTGGATTCCGACTTGATAGTATATCAGTAACATCTGAAATAGGGTGTCCTATTCTCCGATTGGAATGATCATTTCTTTATGAATTCTGGAAGTAACATCCTGATCAGAGGCTCTGATTAGACGTGACAAATGGCTTTGGTTAATTAAAATGGGAAGTTGGGTATTACTGCTTCATAATTGTCACTTTAGACAGGTGCATCTTTCAGAGCCTTGTTTGTATGAAGAGGGCAGAATATTACAAAGGAGCCCCTTGGTGGAAAGGGGCACTGGTGACACAGTGGTTACGTACTTGGCTGTTAACTGAAGGTCAGCAGTTCAAACCCACCAGCTGCTCACTGGGGGAAGGATGTGGCGGTCGGCTTCTGCAGAGATGACAGCCTGGAAGCCGTGTGAGGCTGTTCTGCTCTGTCCTGCAGGGTCACCCCATGTCAAGATCACCTTGACAGCTATGGCTTTTGGTGGCTGATAGACCCAATGGGTTTCATTCAGCTGGTCTAGATGTGAAAAGGGGCAGCCCTGGCAGCTATCCAGGGCTCTTCATGCCCAGGACCATGGGGAGCAGTCAGCAGGAGGGTCTTCCCAGGCCTCTGTGGCCTGGGGCCGGAACAGAGCAGCACAGCTGCAGAACTAGCCCTGCTCCTGGGTGCAGAAGTGTGGCCCACCCTGCCAGGCCAGCTGAGTGGGCAGCTGTGGAGAGGGCTGTGGTCGCCTTCAGGTTCCTGCAGGGGACACAAGTCTGGCTCCAGGTGCCTCCCCTCTCCCTGCACTGAGACAAGCTTGCCTCTGAGCCCAGCCACATGATTTGCATTTGGGAGAGAGAAGGGAACCACATGCAAAGTGTGGTTAAGCAGCGTGGGGGATCACATGCTTCCATACCTTCAGTTTTCCTCCTGGGAGCAGGCAAGACCGCTTCCTCTCCTTGCCTGTGAGGACTTGTCGTTTCTTAGGGCTGCTTGACCAATGACTACAAGGTGGCTGACTTGAAACAGCAGAAATGTTTCCCAGTTCTGAGGCCAGAAATCTAAAATCAAGCTGCTGGCAGGGCTGCCTTTCTCAGCCATGCTTGACGCTCCCTGACTTGGAGACCCTTCGCTCAGTCCTGGTCTCCATTGCACTTCATCTAACCTCCTTGCAGGGCAACCGCCTAAAGGGAGACCCTTTTAGGTTCTTTAGAGAATGCACGGTTAACCTCTTCAGGCTGCCTATTAAGAAGACTCAGCAGAGTTTAAGGGTTCAAACCCCAACTCCCCCAGGGCCTGTCCACTTGTCCCCATTCAGTGTTTTGAGATCCCAGCTCTTCTCAGTCAACGCCCTGACAGCAGACACTCTACAAGGTGGGATTCCGTTTACATTGTGATCCAGCCACTTGCAGGAAGACACTCAGGCTGTGGCCTCAGAACTCTCAGCTCCGTGGCCGCCAGGGGTTGAGATTCGTCTCCAGTCTGACAGGAACCATCAGGTCGTTTATGATGAGCCCGAGCTGGGGACTTGAAGCCTGAAACTCATGCTTTTCTCTCCCCAGTTTTCCAGCACAGGCAGGAACAGCCAGTCTGTCTCTAGAGTCATAGCACGACAGAAATGCCCCAAGTATCAAGTGCACGGTCGTCCAGAATCTTGCCTTTTCCCTCTTTGATTAGCCGTGCCTTGCGGTGGTGATTTGTGAATCTCTGTGGCCGTGTCACGCGTGGACCACCCTTCTGCTCTTTGCCACTGTAAATGGTCATTACTGGCTCTTCCGTCTAACCAGACAAGAGGACCACGTTCAGGAACTCCCGAACCAATTCTACCAACTTATCCTCAAAGTCCTGTTCCTTTAAAACTTCTCTTGGTACCAAAATCTGTAATAGTCAGGGTTGTTGTCGTTGTTGTTAAGTGCTGTCGAGTCGCAGGTGACTCATAGCGACCCTATGAAGGAGAGTCCTCGACGCGTGTGTGTCTTTCATTCTCTCTCCAGGTTCATAGGGTTTCCGGAGGCAAGCTATTATGGAAGTGGATGCCACTCCTCCTTCCAAATAGTCAGGGTTAGTCAGAGAAGTAAAGCCAATGGGAGATGTGTGTGTTTACATTTTCATATATGAAGAAGTTTTAGGGAATTGCCTCACTTAGTTGTGGGGGCTGGACAGGCTGAAGGCTGCAGGGCAGGCCAGTGGAGCAACTCTCGGCTGGAAGATTTGAACACGCAACCCCAGAGCAGTCCTTGACAGTCATCATAGTGCTGCTTTGTGAGGTGCCATGGGGCCACTGTGGAGGTCACAGACGTGTGCCTCCCACCAGCCGCCTCCATTGGGTGATTCTTCCAGATTCTGGGTGTTAACTCCATGGGCCTGATGTTGGAATCTTGCTTTCTTTCCCCCCAGGCAACCAGTGACCAAAAACACTTTCCGGCAGTACCGCGTGCTGGGCAAAGGGGGCTTCGGGGAGGTGAGTGACCACCCCCTCCTTCCACTGAAAGCCCTTGTGGTCTAGTTGCTTCTCTCCCTCTGACTCTGCCCAGAGCGTTCTAAGGGGGCTTCCTCAGCTGATGGGTCAGCCGTGGGCACCGTGGAGCGTCCCAGGTAATGTGCGTGTTGCTGAGGAGGGTGAGGGTCAGAGTGAGCGTCCTAGCCGTGTCTTCATTGGGAGCAGGAGCTGCTGGGCCTCCCTCAGCTCCCTGGGGTGCGCAGATGATGTGGAGGTGCTCTCAGGAACCCACCTTGAGCAGGAGTCAAGCCTGGCGGGGAGAATGGACAGGGAGACAGGTGAGGGCATGAGGGCTGAGCACCCGTGGCCCCCACATTTCCGGATGATGATACTCACATGGCTGTGTGGGATTGTAGGCCCCACTGGACTCTCTGATAGCCCAGCAGCTGAGGTAAGTCTTCTTGTTCCTAGTTGTGAGGTGAAGAAAGCTTGGGTTCAGATTGGTTACGTGACTCAGTAAAGGTCAGAGCTTTGAAGGGACAGAACTGAGACTAGACCCCAACTATTTGGCTCCCATCCCCCTGAGCTACAAAGGCAAGGCTCTTGGAGGTCTCCTATCACCCCTAGAATAAACCTCTCCTGCTAACAGCTAATGCTTTGAAGTCCTCCTTAGCAGCTGCTATATTTGGTGGAATGCAGGTGTGTTGGAGGGAGGTGGTCCCTCAGGCCTCGGCTGGTCATCTGAACATCATTGTGGATGTTTAACACATTCCTCACCGTCAAGAGCTAAGATTCCCTAAGGGAAGAGGAGGGGGCACTGGGGACAGCTTGAGAGGGCAGTGCCCAGCGCAGCGGGCGATTCGAGGCCGCTGTCCACGGTCAGGTCCTGTGGTTTGGGAGCACCTTCGGCCCCTTCCTCTCCCAGCATCCCCTCCTCCCACAGTTCCTTGACTGAGGTCCTTTCTTGCTCCTCAGGTGTGCGCCTGCCAGGTCCGGGCCACAGGTAAGATGTATGCCTGCAAGCGCTTGGAGAAGAAAAGAATCAAGAAGAGGAAAGGGGAATCCATGGCGCTCAATGAGAAGCAGATTCTGGAGAAGGTCAACAGTCGGTTTGTGGTGAGTCCAGGGCCCAGAGGCCGCTGCTCTCTGGTGAAGGAGGGTCTGTCCTTTGGAGGGGACGGCCCTCCAGTGTCCCAGTGTCCCAGTGCCACTACAACAGAAATGCCATGAATGAATGGTTTTTAAAAATAGTGTAGGGGGGAGCTCTGCTGGCCTAGTGGCAAGAAGCTGCACTACAATCACAGAAATATGTGGTTCAAATCCATCGGATGCTCTTCTGCTGGAAAAGAAGGGGCAATGTCCTCCTGTACCAATCAGATCTGATTTGACAGTACATACACAGAAAATGAAAAACAAAATTTTAAAAACCCGACAACCAAAAATAGTGTAGTATCTATTATTGTTGTTGTTTAAAATACACACAACAAAATACACACCAAGGCGTGTTTCTGCATATACCACTCACTGACATGGGTGACGCTTTTCCAGTTGTGTGACCCCTCTCACCCTCCTTAAGTTGTCAAGTGACAGTGTCAGCTGAGGTCAGTTTGTTCTGGTAGAGATGGAGCCAAGGAGAACACCATGCGTAATTAGTAGACATTCTCTACTACGTAAGCCCAGCTAATGCTTGCTCTTATGAAGACTTCTAGGGATATTTTTGGTTTACGTTTAAAGATCATCTCAGGGTTTAGGAGACCATTTCACTTCCATGGCTCCAGAAAGCCTAGAGTTTGTAAGAATGTGAAACTTCGTTCTGCACTTCCCTCCCCCCGCTTTCTTTTTTTTACTTTCCCCCTTTTAATCAAAGTTCATTTATAGATTTTTTTATTTTTAATCAAAATGTCCAGTAATGGCGACCAGACACCACTCACTTCTAACCTCCTAGATAAAGGAGGCAGTAGTTCACAGAGGCCACTAGCCACATGTTCCGTTTTCTCCTCCGAGTCCACATGCTCTTACATGGCTATGTTGCTCCAGGAAAATACAAGGGAACAGCTTGAAAGAACAGAAATTTCTTTTTCTCTCATATCTAAAGGTTAGAAGTTCAAACCAGGGTCTGTGCCTGGCTGGTTCCTTCCTTGTCGGTGGTCCTAGGCACTCTTGGGTCCCTCAGTTTGTAGACCACCTCCTTCATCTCCAGGCCTCTGTCTAATCTGCTCTTTTCATAGCTCAAAAGTAATTCGATTTGGAACCCATTATACTCCGGTATCATCAAATGAACATAACAAAAAAACCCACAACTTTATTTCCAAATAGGATTACATCCACAAGTACAGGGATTAGGATTCCCACGGATATTCTGAGGGAACATCATTCAGTCTGTGATATCCAGCATGCCCAGGCCTCAGCCCCCAGGAAGTGGAAGCCTTTGAGAGGAGGGCACTACACCAAGTCAGCCAGATACTCCTTTCGTCGCCAGAGTGGTTGGTGCCTGGCAGCTCTCTGTGTGAGGCCAGGGCCTCCATTCTCCATCACCAGTTCATTGGTGGACAAGCAAACCCTCCTTGGTCCCAGCCAGCGAGCTCTGGTTTCCCAAATCTAGCTTCATCTTGGTCGGAACCTGTCAGTCCTGGTGAGGTGCTGCTTCGTTTATATATTATGTTAGTACAGGCACAGCTCTGCTGCAGTAACAAATTAACCCCAGTGTCTCGGTGGTTGAGTTACAAAGAGGCCCCCCAAGCCCACTTCCAGTCACGACTGTAGTGAGAGCCCCCAGTATCTCGGTGGCTGAATTACAGAGGGCCCCCCCCAGCCCACTTCCAGTTGCGACTGTAGTGAGAGCCCCCAGTATCTCGGTGGCTGAATTACAGAGAGCCCCCCCCCCAGCCCACTTCCAGTCGCGACTGTAGTGAGGAGCCCCCTCCCATGTGATGACACCTGGGGTCTGCCTAACCAGCTGGTAATGTATATGCTTTTGTGATGCGAGTACTCACACCTCCTTCTACCAGAATCACTGAATTCCTTCCCCCACCCCCTTTGGAAAGAGTTAGGTATGACCTTTCCTCACTGGCCAAGAAGGGCTGCAGACAGGGTGACCATGAGGCCACGGGGAGTGGTGTGAAGCTGCTGCAGAACCCACACTGCCCTCGCCCCACCTTTAAGGATCCTGAAGAAGAGGGAGTTGGTGGCATCATCTGAGCCCCACCTGGTGCTGCTCTCGTGTTCCCAGGTCAACCTGGCCTACGCCTACGAGACCAAGGATGCGCTGTGCTTGGTTCTCACCATCATGAACGGAGGTGACCTGAAGTTCCACATCTATAACATGGGCAACCCCGGCTTCGAGGAGGAGCGGGCCTTGTTTTACGCAGCTGAAATCCTGTGCGGCCTGGAAGACCTCCACCGGGAGAACACGGTCTACAGGTGAGCAGGGCCATCCGCTGACCTCACCCATCCGGCCCTGGAGTGTGGGGACTCTCCCCTCTCACCCTTCTGTGAGTGGCCGTCTTTGTCCGGGGTCAAGGCTTAGGCATTGAAGGTGAAGGTGCATTCACTGGGCAGACCACGTCCCTCTTGGGCTCTCAGGGCTTCTGGGCAGAGAAGTGAGGTAGGCCATCCTCCAGCCAGTGTCCTCTGGCCTCCAAACTTTGGGGAAGACAAGAATATGATAGGATGTTCCCTAAAATTGACAGCTGCTCTGAACTAGTGAGGAAGGGCTGTCACACCCCCACCTTACCCCTCACTGGAGCGGGGGCCATCATCTTGAACCTGCCCAGGACAGCCTGGGTCCAGCTGCCCGCCACAGGCAGCCCCTGAACCAGCCACACTCCACACTGTCCTCTGCTGTTGTGACCTGTCACCCTCTGTCCCCACTGACCTCAGTCCCAGGGGGTCTGAACTTGCATAACCAAGTGTTCGGAGTCTTCAAGCTTCTCACAAGAACTTGGGGAAACTGTATGTTCCCCTCACACATTGTAAGTAAATATTTGAATATTCCCTCCTTTGTGTAAATAGTGGTGAACACTGATATTTTGAACTTTAATGGTGACCCCACACTCTCAGAGGCGCCCGGGACCAGCTGTCGTTGAATCAGTTCTGACCGATGGTGACTCGTCACTGCCAGGGGAGCACTGTGCTGCATGGCATTCCCAGAGGCTGATTTTCCACAGGCGCGTCTCCAGGCCTTTCTTCCTAGTCTCTCTCATTCTGGAATGCTGCTGAAACTTGTTCACCCTGCGTGACCTGGTCACAGCAATGCACCGACCACCACAGTACAGCACACTGGTACATGGTAGAGTCAGAGAAGCGTAAGCTTTCTTCTAATGTCTTTTGACTAAATGTTCAGTTGTCTTGTGAGCTGTCATTATTAGTTAATGTTGTTAGATGCAATTGAATCAGGCCCGTATCGTAGCAGCACGAAGCCCTGTCCGACCCGTGCCGCCCTGCCCAGGCCTGCGCCACCCTGCCAGGACTGTACCTCCCTCACGATCGCCCCTGTTCTTTCGCCCTTTATTGGTGGCCCTCTGCTGATCCATCTCGTTCAAGAGCTTCCACTTTTTCACTGCCTTCTGCTTTACACCCGCGTGTCTCTCTCCAAGGGTTGGGCTCTCCTGATAACACGCTCAAAGAATGGGACACCACGTGTCGCCGGCCTCGCCTCTCCGGTGCCTTCTGGCCGTGTATCTTCTAGGATTGACACACTCGTTCTTTCGGAAGTCCATGGTCTAGGCAATATTCCATGTTACTTCTCCAGTTGACTGGAGCCGTAGGGACGTGACACCCTGGATGAGGGACTGTAAGACCATCCAGCAAGAGAAGGCTTTCTTCAGAAGTCACGGGATGAGCTACTGAGATTGAGGGAGAAAGTGGGAAGGAGGCCTTGTGGAGCTCCAGGACAGAGCACTGGGACGTTAGCCCCCCAAACGCACTGCCTGGAGTCGAGTCTGACCCACAGTGGCCTCTGCTGGATTTCCAAGCTGTGAGTTCTTCTAGGAGAGGAGACTGTCTTTCTCCCACAGAGATCCTGGTCGATTTGAGCTGCTGACCTCTCAGTGAGCAGGCTGGCATTGATGCACTAAGCCACCAAGCCTCCTTATTAAGATGCTGAGGATGTAGAAATCATACCCTTGAATCTGTTAGCACCTGGGACCGAAGACCTGGGCCTCCTGATAGAAGACCTGAGCCTCCTGATAGAAGACCTGGGCCTCCAGCTTGAAGACCTCAGCTTCCAGCTTGAAGACCTCAGCCTCCAGACTGAAGACCTGGGCCTCCAGCTTGAAGACCTCAG